ACCCCCCACCCCATGGCTGCCCCACCTGGCCCCTGCTTCTGGCCTTGTAAAAAAAAGCCCCCACTCACTGGCTGCTGCAGTGGCCTTTGGGCTTTGGGGGCTTGTGGCAGAGCCCCCCACGCAGCATGGGGCAGTGGGGGGCAGTGGGGATTGCCCCCCACCTGGCAGGAGCCAGTGAGTTCAGGTTTTTTTTTTTTTTTAATTAAAGGGCCAGGAGCTGGGCATGGGGGGGCAGCCATGGTGGGGCTGGGAGAGCGGGCAGGGGTCAGGGGGCTTGTGGCAGAGCCCCCCACATGGCATGGGGCAGCAAGAAGCAGAGGTGATCGTTCCCCTGCCTGGCAGCAGATGGTGAGTGCGGGTTTTTTTTAAAGAGCCAGGAGCTGGGAGAGTAGGCGGGGCAGCCACTGAGAGCTAGCAGGGGATGGGGCCAATTTGGAGATTTGGCCGATTCAGCTGCAGCCGAATCTCTGAATCAGATTTGGCCGAATTGATTCAGAACACTGATTCAAATCACCGAATCGAATCACTGTCCCCTGAATCAGCCAAATCCGAAGCAAATACTAGCTGCTTTGCACAAGCTTAGTAATTGTCTCATTCACTGGGCAAGTCTGCCAAATATCTCGAGTGCCATAGCTTACTACATGAAACTCTTAGAAACAGAAAATGTTTGGCCTTAAGATATGTATTGTCATTTTGTAAATCATAGTCTTACTTGTACAGCTGCTACCGAGGCTTGTTTTAGTCTTCTGGCTCTCAGGCTGACTTAAGCATTTGATAGTTTCATCTGTCTGATCAGGAGAAACTTGTTCCTTCTTTTCAAACACAGATCCCATAGGACTGCTGCTATCCCTCTCTTCAGAAATGACACCATCCAGTGTTGGACTAATCTAGTTAGAAGATTTATAGAAAAGATTTTAAATTGTAGTCAATTATGATGTAAACTTTTATTTGCTTATACCTCCAATTCCATCGGCCATTTTAAAAAGGAAAGTAGACTTATAATATACAGTAATTATGACTGTATTGTTTGTTGAGACAAGGCACTGCACTTTGCAGAAAGACTGCATACTTACTAGAGTTTATTGGTAATGTAGTGCAATTTTTACTACATAAAAAGGCAACTGAAGTAGTTGGCTCAATAAGAAGAGGGAGAGGGGAGTTCAAGAGGAGTGGTTGCTCCTCAAGGGAGCGATCCTCAATGCACAAACTAAGTCTATTCCATCTCGGAGGAAAGGCAGCAAGAGGGCACAGCAGCCCCCCTGGCTCTCCAGGGATCTAGCAGACCTCCTGAGGCTAAAAAGAAAGGCCTACAAAGGATGGAGGATGGGAGTCACCTCCAAGGAGGATTATTCTGCACTGGTCCGGTCCTGTAGGGAGCAGACCAGGAAAGCCAAGGCTGCAACTGAACTCCAACTAGCTTTGAGCATCAAGGACAATAAAAAGCCCTTTTTCAGATATGTGGGGAGCCGGAGGAAAAGCAGGGGCAACATTGGACCCCTGATGAACTTTCATCAGTCGCATTGGACGCCCATGCCCGCTACAGGGCCGGGAAGTCCGGGTGAGGGTGATCCCCTGCCCTCCATTAATGCTGACTTTGTGAAGGAACATCTTGAGAAGCTGGATACCTTCAAGTCAGCCGGCCCTGACAATCTTCACCCCAGGGTACTCAAGGAGCTGGCGAGCATCATAGCCCAGCCTCTAGCACGGATCTTTGAAAACTCTTGGAGATCTGGTGTAGTGCCCGAAGACTGGAAGAAGGCCAATGTGGTGCCTATCTTCAAGAAAGGGAGGAAAGTGGATCCGGCTAACTATAGGCCCATCAGCCTGACTTCTATCCCGGGGAAGATCTTAGAAAAGTTTATTAAAGAGGCCATCCTTAATGGACTGGCCGACGCCAACATCTTAAGGGATAGCCAGCACGGGTTTGTTGCGGGTAGGTCTTGCTTGACCAATCTCATTTCCTTCTACGACCAGGTGACCTATCACCTGGACAAGGGAGAAGAGATTGATGTCATATATCTTGACTTCAAAAAAGCCTTCGATCTGGTGTCCCATGATCGCCTCTTGGAGAAACTGGCCAATTGTCGCCTTGGGTCCTCCACGATCCACTGGCTGGAAAATTGGCTCCGGGGTCGGACCCAGAGGGTAGTAATCGATGGAAGTCACTCATCGTGGTGTCCTGTGACCAGTGGGGTCCCCCAAGGCTCTGTCCTTGGACCCATACTGTTCAACATCTTCATTAATGATGTGGACACTGGAGTCAGAAGCGATCAGAACTGGCCAAGTTCGCCGATGACACCAACCTCTGGGGCAAAGCATCCACACCAGAAGACAGGCAGGTTATCCAGGCTGACCTGGACAGGCTCAGCAAGTGGGCGGACGAGAATCTGATGGTGTTCAACGCCGATAAATGCAAGGTTCTCCACCTTGGGAAAAAAAACCCGCAGCATCCTTATAGGCTCGGCAGTGCTATGTTGGCTAGCACTATGGAAGAAAGAGACTTGGGGGTCATCATTGACCACAAGATGAACATGAGCCTGCAATGCGATGCGGCGGCTAGTAAAGCGACCAAAACGCTGGCTTGCATCCATAGATGCTTCTCAAGCAAATCCCGGGACGTCATTCTCCCCCTGTACTCGGCCTTAGTGAGGCCGCAGCTGGAGTACTGTGTCCAGTTTTGGGCTCCACAATTCAAAAAGGATGTGGAGAAGCTTGAGAGAGTCCAGAGAAGAGCCACGCGCATGATCAGAGGTCAGGGAAACAGACCCTATGATGACAGGCTGAGAGCCGTGGGGCTCTTTAGCCTGAAAAAGCGCAGGCTCAGGGGTGATCTGATGGCCACCTACAAGTATATCAGGGGTGACCACCAGCATCTGGGGGAACGTTTGTTCACCAGAGCGCCCCAAGGGATGACGAGGTCGAATGGTCACAAACTACTTCAAGATCGTTTCAGGCTGGACATAAGGAAGAACTTCTTTACTGTCCAAGCCCCCAAGGTCTGGAACAGCCTGCCACCGGAGGTGGTTCAAGCGCCTTCATTGAACACCTTCAAGATGAAACTGGATGCTTATCTTGCTGGGATCCTATGACCCCAGCTGACTTCCTGCCCTTTGGGCGGGGGGCTGGACTCGATGATCTTCCGAGGTCCCTTCCAGCCCTGATGTCTATGAAATCTATGAAATCTATGAAGAAGTGATAGCATTCAGAAAGTGCCTTTGGTGTAATAATTAAGCAACATTTTATGTTAATTCTCTTTCAAAGACTTCATAACAAGTCTCCTGAAATAAATCAAATAGGTATGCTTTTTTTTTTTTTTAATTTGTCCAAGCTTGTAAATTCAGCTTGGGATCTGAGTCAAACATCCCTTGACTTGTCTCTGTGACACTTTGTGATTCTCTCCAGTAGGGGTGTGTGAAGTGGGCCCTATTCGATTCAGATTCAGCCCAAATCCAAGCCAGTGATTCGATTCGTTGATTCAGACCACTGTCCCTGATTCAATTTGGCTGAATCCAAATCTGAAGAGTCAATGCTCATTCGGCGAATCAATGATTTGGGCATAGACACCGCTTCAAAAGTTTTTTCTACATACCTTGAGGTAGCAGGCACAGCTCGTGATTGCTGCAATGCTGGGGCGCATGGAGCATCCCACAGAAGCGCGGGGGGGCCCTCTATATGCTCGGTGGTGAACTAGGAAGTGGATTGGAAGTACTTCTGGAAGTACTTGGCCGGGGAGTGCACAGTGGGGGGGGGGCCCGCACTCTCCCAGCTTGGCGATTGGCCATGGGAGGACCCTGTGTGCCCCCCCCCCCCCCCCCCCCCCCCCCACCCCCCGAGCACCCCCCCCCCCCAGACCCAGGAGGCACCAGTCACCAAGCTGGAAGAGTCTGGGGGGTGGGGGGAGTGCACTCCCTGGCAGACCTGGAAGTGCTTCTGGTCCACTTTCAGGTCTGCTGCCAAGCACACTGGGGAGCCCCCCATGCTCCTGTGGGACACTCCATGTGCCCCAGCACTGCAGCATTCACAGCCACCTGCTACCTAGAGGTATGCAGAAAAAACATTTCAAGTTGTCTCTATGTCCAAATCCACAAATCTTTCTGAATCTCTCCGAATTGATCTGGAGAGATAAAAGGATCCTCCGATTCAATTTGAATTCAGAGATTCAGCCACCGAATCGGGCCGAATCTCCACCAAATTGAATCAGGGACCAAAGCTTCGCACAGCCCTACTTTCCAATAATATTGTGCATTTGACACTGGGTAATTATGTGACTGATGAGCTGGCCTTGCTCTTTAAATTATTTTGGATTTGAAATACTAACTGGAATTCACAAGTCATAAAAATAGGCTTTGGTCAACAAAGTAGTTATGGCAGAAAACAAAGAAGGAATTGTGGATGCAGAAGCTGGAATTTGTTAATCGTCACTTTTCTTATATGAATCATACTTTAAAGTGATGACAATATTAAAGCTGAAATCCATGATGAACAATCAGCTCAGCAACTGTATACAAGGTTTAATATAGTCTTCTCTATGGACGGTCAATCCCTTTCTTTAGATTCACATGGGATTACATTCCTGAGCAGGGCGTTTCAAAATTTCTTGGAGCCAATTACATTTCAATAATTAAAATAAGCAGATAAAAACTAGGAAAACATAAAATTAAATATCCTTATACTTCCTCTTTGTCTATAAAAAATCATTTGAATACTAAATGAAAAGTCACCCTCCATACACGTGCTTCGACAGGGAGACAGCATCCTCACAACTACAGTAGATTCAACCAATGCAGGACTTTAAAAAGTCACATTTATAACAATGGTGTTAATCAAGACAGCAATTACAGGGCATGAAGTACTACCCACAACTGCTCTAGAAAAGCTTTGGTCCAAAACACAAAACTAATCTGATTTCAGATTGGGTCTATTCAGTCTTCTTAAAAAGGACCAATCCCACTCTAAAAGTGTTACTAACTAAGCAGATTTCTATTACTGTCCATAATTGTTCCACATTTCCAGAAATATCTAGCAGAGCAACAGATTAGGAATCAGCATTTCTGGGTTCCGTGCCTACTTCCTTCACTTATTCTGTTTACGTGCTTCAGACACCGTAACAATGACCATGGAGACTGCCTGATAGCACAACACTGGTTTTATGGAGGGTATAGCGGTTGGCTCAGACACTGAGCATACATCACTCTCTGATCACTTGAACCCACTTTAGCACTTTTTTTTTTATTTCTCTTATTAAATTTTTTTAATGAACTACTTTTAAAAATGTTTTCAGGCATCCAAACTGACTGAATGTAACTCTTAGTTTGAAGAGCCTGTTTTCTACATAGTAACAACTTGTCAATAACAGTAATTGTTTTTCACTAGGAATTTTCAATAAATTGAGTTTTACATGAGACTCGTATGCCAGTTTTGCCAACTCTCATGATTTTATTGCTAGTTTTGTGATAGTTGCTGGTTTGTTTGGAGTTTTTTTGAAGCCCCAGCTCCAGCAATTTTTATTGACCCTGTAAGAATTTCTGTAAGTGTTTTTAGCTCTTGTGGTTGTAGAAAAAAAACATGAAACTGTTATCTGATGATCTACAACCCCCTAAATTTCTTATCATTTGATTATACTTCCTAAGCCAATCTAATAATTTTGGGGGGCTGGCTCACTGTTTTTCAATGCATGGTGTTAGCAATATTGTATGACTATTCCAAGCTTTCTTTCCTATACAACTAGAAAGTCACAGTCATACAGTATTGCTAAACATACAGTATTGCTAACACCAAAACCTCTACCAAGCTTTCCTAGTTAGAGTGTTTAAATCACAACAGTGAAATGCATTTGGACCCACCACTCTTTTGAGGGATGATTTTGTTGCTGTTGTGCATGTACCACTGTCACCTGCTGACGTTTGTAGTTTGAATCTTGTTCCCAAAGCTCCACGGTTTGTCAAGGTGATGGTCCGTGAAATTGTCTCTCCTACCACATGAGTGCCAAAGTCAATGAGCTCTTTATCTAGTGCCAGCTGTAAGGAGAAAAACTATAATTACTGCTGTCCTAGATAGTTGGTAATGTCAATTAAATGAACATCTACCATTTCAAGCATAAGACTTAAAAGTTCTTATTAACACTTCAAAGACAATGTCAAATAATGACACAAATTATGGGCACTCTTCTGTCTTTTGTATAGAATCCAACTCATTTGAACAACAAATTCTTATTAAAGCAAGCAACCTCCCTTTCACTCTGTTATATGACACCAGAAACAGTGGGCCAAATACTGTGACTGATTACACCAGCTTGTAAATATGGGGTAACTCCACTGAAATTAAGGAAATTAGTTATTCTGAATTTATACAATGATATGAATACAGTGCAGCATTTAGTTCTGTTGTTCCTCTTGTATCACACAAACGTGAATCATCTTGCTGGTATAATGTTTGTAAAGAACAGAGTCTAATGCCTTGTGTCAAATGAAGATCCATTTATAACAGATCCTATTTTGTTACTTAGCGTAGAGTGGTTTTACCCCTACATTAATTGATGAATACAGATTGAATTTCCATTGACTTTGTACTTAAATTGTGGGTCAGAAGAGGCATATGAAATAATTTCAAGTATACAGGTAGTGAAGATGACTTCATTTGTGGAGCTTGTTACTTGGCCATTTGCTAGTGGACCACAGAGAGCTGATTCCCTCCCACTTTTAAGATACGCAGAATAACATTCACTTCATACAATATACACACTATTAGTTAAAATGTAAAGTTTCTATTTCATAACTTTTTTTTTCTTCTTACTGACCTTTATCTAACAGGAATGGAAACAATTCCAGTTTATAAGAGACGACTTTAAAGGAAGCAAGCACAAAGCAAAGAACCACAATATACAAAGCAAAGATCCACAGTATCTCTCAGATGACAAAGAATGTAAACATGTGAAACAGGAAATGTTTACACTTGTTATGGCCGGGGGGGAATCACTGAATCCAGGATAGAAGAGATCTGATCATCTGGTATTGCAAAGTCATATGTACAATACTTCACGATCATTAGGATATTTTCTTGCAGGTATTTTGTGCTACTAAATTTGATATTTAAGTAGCAAATATGCAGCAACTGATTTATTAGGCAAATTATTTACTGGCAATTTGCTGCCAAGTTAGGGAGAACTGCTAGGTCAAGCAGTGAAGCAATATTTAATACAGATATTCATCCACCAGAAAAAAAAAAATCAGCAACAGTCTTAAACTTAAACTTTTAAAATAGTTTTAAATGAAAAGCAGAGATGGTGGGATCTAAGGGTGTTTTGTCTGTTTGGAAAACTAAACCAAGAAACATGTTCCTTGAGAACTTTTGCTGAAGAAAAGCAACAGACACAGTGCACTTGTACAAATCAAAGTTTCTGCCAGCAAATTGTCTGTTCCATAGCATAATACATGAACTGTGCAAAACAGTGGTGTGGATCCTGAAGGTGTAATAGCTGCTTCTCTGACAGTCTGTCAAAGCCCTGGAGTGCTTGCTTTTTTAAGACTGTAATGCAGTGCTCATCTTGATTTTCTTTAGCAATTCAGCAGAGCAGTTGAGGACAGGATCAAGCTTTGGTATACAAGGGCCATGTTTACACGAGACGCTGACTGTGCAGTTGTTACTGTGCAGTAGTTACTGTGCAGTAGCATCTTCAAATGGCTTTTCTGTGATGCTGACTACGCAGAAGCTTATTACTACTGTGCAGTAGCATCACATCACACATCCTGCCATGCAATGCTATTGCATAGTAGTCACAGGCTACTGCACAGTCAGCATCTCATGTAGACACGGGCAAGAAGTACTACTCAAGTCAATGGGACTCCTCTTGTGTTTAACATACTTAAGTGCTTTATAAATTCGGGCTTGCTGAAAAGCATACCGCATTTCCTTTTACAGTTTCTATTTTATTATTCTGCTTTTTAGAACTGATTATTTTTGCTTCATTTTATGATCTCTTTGGGCATGTCCACACATGCAAGCATGCGCGCTTGCAGCAACTCAAATAGAAGCGGTGCAAACTTGAGCTGTGGCTTTTTGCCCAGACATGCACTTTGGTGTGGGGCAATTTGTGCCACTTGGGGCAAAATAACCCTGCCTGGCTCCTTCTGGATCTGCAGCCAGGGGGGGCTACAGCCCTGGGCCAGCACTGTCCCCAGCAGTATAAAAAGCTGCCCTGTCCTGGCCCCATCAGTACAAAAAGCTGCCCTGGCAAGTAACTCAGGGCTACCCACTCTCAGGAGCTTCTGGGGACCAGCCAATTGGTACCTGGGGACACTACCCCTTGTGCCAGCTGGACTACTGAAGCAGCCCCGAGAGTTCCCTGCACCCTTTACCTACTGCAGCAGTCTGGCAGTGGGAGCTGCTGCCTGGCTGTGACCTGCTGCCACCTGCCAGACCCGGATGGTGACTTGCCCCTCTGGGCCAGCTGCCAGTGGGCTGTGGCTGCAGTTGGCCTTTGTGCGGTACTATTGCCATGTGTGACATTTGCACGGCCATCTGGGCAGCTATTGCCCAGAAGATGTTCCTAGTGTGGTGGCCTGCTTTAACTGTCAAAGCATGTCTTCCTGGCCTCAATTGGCCAGGAGGTCAGCCAACCCTAGCTGGGTCCAAGGTGCCATCTCTGAGCAGGCTCCTCTGCCTGGGTCCTGCCACTTGTCTCCCTAGCAGGAATTCTGGTGTTCCCCATTTGAACACTGAAAAATCCCAGATAAAAAAATCACAAAGTCACTCTGTAAAATACCCTGAAATCCATGTTCCTCCACAATTAAAACAAAA